TAGAGAATTTTAGGGAACCGTTCTTGCACGTCCGATATCGTATTATGGGCCGTCCGGTACAAACTGCGCATGTGGGAGTCTTCTGCGGTAGCATACATGCGGTTCCTACCTGAGGGCCCATCGTACCGTATCTGATGTTCGAAAACGTTTCCAAAAACTATCTATTAGAGAATTTTAGGGAACCGTTCTTGCACGTCCGATATCGTATTATGGGCCCTCCGGTACAAACTGCGCATGTGGGAGTCTTCTGCGGTAGCATACATGCGGTTCCTACCTGAGGGCCCATGGTACCGTATCTGATGTTGGAAAACGTTTCCAAAAACTATCTATTAGAGAATTTTAGGGAACCGTGCTTGTACGTCCCATATCGTATTATGGGCCCTCCGGTACAAACTGCCTATGTGGGAGTCTTCTGCGGTAGCATACATGCGGTTCCTACCTGAGGGCCCATCGTACCGTATCTGACGTTGGAAAACGGTTCCAAAAACTATCTATTAGAGAATTTTAGGGAACCGTGCTTGTACGTCCGATATCGTATTATGGGCCCTCCGGTACAAACTGCCTATGTGGGAGTCTTCTGTGGTAGCATACATGCGGTTCCTACCTGAGGGCCCATCGTACCGTATCTGACGTTGGAAAACGGTTCCAAAAACTATCTATTAGAGAATTTTAGGGAACCGTTCTTGCACGTCCGATATCGTATTATGGGCCCTCCGGTACAAACTGCGTATGTGGGAGTCTTCTGCGGTAGCATACATGCGGTTCCTACCTGAGGGCCCATGGTACCGCATCTGATGTTGGAAAACGTTTCCAAAAACATCTATTAGAGAATTTTAGGGAACCGTGCTTGTACGTCCGATATCGTATTATGGGCCCTCCGGTACAAAGTGCCTATGTGGGAGTCTTCTGCGGTAGCATACATGCGGTTCCTACCTGAGGGCCCATCGTACCGTATCTGACGTTGGAAAACGGTTCCAAAAACTATCTATTAGAGAATTTTAGGGAACCGTGCTTGTACGTCCGATATCGTATTATGGGCCCTCCGGTACAAACTGCCTATGTGGGAGTCTTCTGCGGTAGCATACATGCGGTTCCTACCTGAGGGCCCATCGTACCGTATCTGACGTTGGAAAACGGTTCCAAAAACTATCTATTAGAGAATTTTAGGGAACCGTGCTTGTACGTCCGATATCGTATTATGGGCCCTCCGGTACAAACTGCCTATGTGGGAGTCTTGTGCGGTAGCATACATGCGGTTCCTACCTGAGGGCCCATGGTACCGTATCTGATGTTGGAAAACGTTTCCAAAAACTATCTATTAGAGAATTTTAGGGAACCGTGCTTGTACGTCCGATATCGTATTATGGGCCCTCCGGTACAAACTGCCTATGTGGGAGTCTTCTGCGGTAGCATACATGCGGTTCCTACCTGAGGGCCCATCGTACCGTATCTGACGTTGGAAAACGGTTCCAAAAACTATCTATTAGAGAATTTTAGGGAACCGTTCTTGCACGTCCGATATCGTATTATGGGCCCTCCGGTACAAACTGCGTATGTGCGAGTCTTCTGCGGTAGCATACATGCGGTTCCTACCTGAGGGCCCATGGTACCGTATCTGATGTTGGAAAACGTTTCCAAAAACTATCTATTAGAGAATTTTAGGGAACCGTGCTTGTACGTCCGATATCGTATTATGGGCCCTCCGGTACAAACTGCCTATGTGGGAGTCTTCTGTGGTAGCATACATGCGGTTCCTACCTGAGGGCCCATCGTACCGTATCTGACGTTGGAAAACGGTTCCAAAAACTATCTATTAGAGAATTTTAGGGAACCGTTCTTGCACGTCCGATATCGTATTATGGGCCCTCCGGTACAAACTGCGTATGTGGGAGTCTTCTGCGGTAGCATACATGCGGTTCCTACCTGAGGGCCCATGGTACCGTATCTGATGTTGGAAAACGCTTCCAAAAACTATCTATTAGAGAATTTTAGGGAACCGTGCTTGTACGTCCGATATCGTATTATGGGCCCTCCGGTACAAACTGCCTATGTGGGAGTCTTCTGCGGTAGCATACATGCGGTTCCTACCTGAGGGCCCATCGTACCGTATCTGACGTTGGAAAACGGTTCCAAAAACTATCTATTAGAGAATTTTAGGGAACCGTGCTTGTACGTCCGATATCGTATTATGGGCCCTCCGGTACAAACTGCCTATGTGGGAGTCTTCTGCGGTAGCATACATGCGGTTCCTACCTGAGGGCCCATCGTACCGTATCTGACGTTGGAAAACGGTTCCAAAAACTATCTATTAGAGAATTTTAGGGAACCGTGCTTGTACGTCCGATATCGTATTATGGGCCCTCCGGTACAAACTGCCTATGTGGGAGTCTTCTGCGGTAGCATACATGCGGTTCCTACCTGAGGGCCCATGGTACCGTATCTGATGTTGGAAAACGTTTCCAAAAACTATCTATTAGAGAATTTTAGGGAACCGTGCTTGTACGTCCGATATCGTATTATGGGCCCTCCGGTACAAACTGCCTATGTGGGAGTCTTCTGCGGTAGCATACATGCGGTTCCTACCTGAGGGCCCATCGTACCGTATCTGACGTTGGAAAACGGTTCCAAAAACTATCTATTAGAGAATTTTAGGGAACCGTTCTTGCACGTCCGATATCGTATTATGGGCCCTCCGGTACAAACTGCGTATGTGCGAGTCTTCTGCGGTAGCATACATGCGGTTCCTACCTGAGGGCCCATGGTACCGTATCTGATGTTGGAAAACGTTTCCAAAAACTATCTATTAGAGAATTTGAGGGAACCGTGCTTGTACGTCCGATATGGTATTATGGGCCCTCCGGTACAAACTGCCTATGTGGGAGTCTTCTGCGGTAGCATACATGCGGTTCCTACCTGAGGGCCCATCGTACCGTATCTGACGTTGGAAAACGGTTCCAAAAACTATCTATTAGAGAATTTTAGGGAACCGAGCTTGTACGTCCGATATCGTATTATGGGCCCTCCGGTACAAACTGCCTATGTGGGAGTCTTCTGCGGTAGCATACATGCGGTTCCTACCTGAGGGCCCATGGTACCGTATCTGATGTTGGAAAACGTTTCCAAAAACTATCTATTAGAGAATTTTAGGGAACCGTGCTTGTACGTCCGATATCGTATTATGGGCCCTCCGGTACAAACTGCCTATGTGGGAGTCTTCTGCGGTAGCATACATGCGGTTCCTACCTGAGGGCCCATCGTACCGTATCTGACGTTGGAAAACGGTTCCAAAAACTATCTATTAGAGAATTTTAGGGAACCGTTCTTGCACGTCCGATATCGTATTATGGGCCCTCCGGTACAAACTGCGTATGTGCGAGTCTTCTGCGGTAGCATACATGCGGTTCCTACCTGAGGGCCCATGGTACCGTATCTGATGTTGGAAAACGTTTCCAAAAACTATCTATTAGAGAATTTTAGGGAACCGTGCTTGTACGTCCGATATGGTATTATGGGCCCTCCGGTACAAACTGCCTATGTGGGAGTCTTCTGCGGTAGCATACATGCGGTTCCTACCTGAGGGCCCATCGTACCGTATCTGACGTTGGAAAACGGTTCCAAAAACTATCTATTAGAGAATTTTAGGGAACCGAGCTTGTACGTCCGATATCGTATTATGGGCCCTCCGGTACAAACTGCCTATGTGGGAGTCTTCTGCGGTAGCATACATGCGGTTCCTACCTGAGGGCCCATGGTACCGTATCTGATGTTGAAAAACGTTTCCAAAAACTATCTATTAGAGAATTTTAGGGAACCGTGCTTGTACGTCCGATATCGTATTATGGGCCCTCCGGTACAAACTGCCTATGTGGGAGTCTTCTGCGGTAGCATACATGCGGTTCCTACCTGAGGGCCCATCGTACCGTATCTGACGTTGGAAAACGGTTCCAAAAACTATCTATTAGAGAATTTTAGGGAACCGTTCTTGCACGTCCGATATCGTATTATGGGCCCTCCGGTACAAACTGCGTATGTGCGAGTCTTCTGCGGTAGCATGGCCCATCGTACCGTATCGGATGTGCGAAAACGATTTCGTAAAACTGTCTGTGCAAACTGCGCTTATGCTACCTCAGAATACTTACACATGTTCAGTTCGTACCGGAAGGCCCCTCGTACTCCATCGGATGTGCAAAAGGGGTTCGCTAAGACTTCTCTAATTTGTGTTTCTATATCGATACGCAACGACAATACGATTTCTCCGCAAAGGTTCTGGAGGGATATCGGTATTTTCATCATGTCAAAGCAATTAACTAGAACTCCTAAAAATTATCTGAAAAACAAAGACAAAATTAAACCACGTCATTTCGGAAGCTGACGGTGTTCGTTCGAGGTTATCGGAGAGACGAAGGTCAAGTTATGTTACTAACGCTAAAGCGCCACGTGGTGGGTGTCACGGGACCATCGTCAAGCTGACGACGTCAGCTGACCACCGTCAGATGATGACGTAACGTGCGCCCTTCCGCTAAATTCGGTGGCCAATAGAACCGTGTATGACAAATTTAGCATCTCCGCAAGGTCACGTTTAGCGGGACGCAAGGTTGAAAAATTCGTCACCTTAACCGTATAAATCAGGTTCACTATTACTTCTTAAATTACGCCTCGGATGTAAAGTTTCATGATTTTATGTCAGCAGTTTTGTGTCACAGGACACTGCATGCCACCCTAATGCTTAAACGCAAAAAAAGACTTCAATGTCTCTTTGAAATACGTTAGAAGTGATGATGGATCCCGATGTATAGACATTTCCAATGTTTACAAATCCACAGCCCAGCGTGCGATCTCCACAGCTCAGCACGCGCGTGTGCGTCGCTCCGGAAAACGAGCAAAGCACGCGCCATACGCACGAACACTGGAAATGGCACCGGCCATACGCTCTTTCTTGGAAAGGTCTATATTACTCCGATGGAGAATTATGTCCGAAGCAAAAATACATCTTCAATGAAATGTGTCGGATATTGAACAGAAAGCGAGACATGCTCAAATCATTTCAGGTTATTTTCGTTAAATCAGCGAAGCGAGGTAAGTTACTACACGGAAATGTACATATTCTGCTCATTGTGGCGAACATATTAGCCATCAGAGGTTACAAACATAAAGAAATAAGGATTGACGTGAGGCTATGACGTTTTTATTCAAAAGATGCATCGTAAAGAATGGAACGCACGAGCTCCGAAATTGGGTGCTGGGCGGCACTCGCCGCTCGCCGTTCGCGGCTTTAGCCGTTCGCCACTAACCAGATCCGAAAGACGCGGCGCCGCGAGGAAGTGACGTAGTGACGCCAGCACCGCTTGCTATGGATACTGCCGCACGGCGACTGTTTTCAACGCTCGTGTGTCTTCTGCATAAAGGGGCCCTGTAACGACTTTTTAACTGGTTTTTAATTTGCACGGAACCTGAGCGCACTGAACACAGTAACTTAATGAAATTTATTTTTTCTCGAATTTCTCTTTATTTTAAAAGTTATAGCAAAATTAAAATACAAAAAAAAGCAAAAAACAACCTCCTTCATGACGTCCTTGGTTGCTTGAGTGGCCGTGGAAGAGAGGAGGGGTAGTGAGCTCAGCGACTGCTCACGGCTGCCGCACTCAGCGTCGACGGCTTGAGAGGGCGCCACTAAAGCATCTTCTGGATAGGCTGGATGAAGTTGTCAGCAAGGGCGGCTCGCATTGTATTTGCTGCGCGATTAAACACCGGTTCGGCATGACACTTCATTGGCCGCAAACGACAGCAAACACGGCGTAAATATCAGTTCAGAACGGGAGCCACTTCGCGCAGCCATACCGCCAAAGCGCCTAACCGCAAGCCAAACCTGCTCGCCGAAGGCCTTCGGAACGCTCGAAACCGGTCGGATCCTCGAGCTCATACGACCGCTGCGCTGCCGCGTACATCCGGGGTCTTTCTACGCTCGCCTCTCGTCGGTGCCTGATCCCACTCGCCTTTTCTAGTATGCGTCGCCTTTGCCACCACTTGGTGGCGGGTATGTCGACAGCCATTTCTTGCTTCCGTACTTTATAAACTGCATTTGTTTTTCTTCTGATCTAAAGTAGTGAAAAAAATACTTTTGTAAATAACTGAAACGGTTCGCGCCACTTGTGTTTTGTATATCGACTAAAAAGAAGCTTTTAGCGGCTCTGAGCAGTAGTAAGCCCATGACCAAAGTTTTCACATATCATGCGCTTAAAGGGGCAGTCAAGCGCTTTTTGAGTTCGTGTTTTGATGATGACAACTGAATTAAGACACCCTAAGTATCCCTAAAAACGAAAAAATATAGTCATACGGTGATTATTTCTTTAATAAAAATGTAAATGAAGACCGCCAAACCTCGGATCCACCCGAAAACGAAACCACTCTCATTAGTCATCGCACGCATATCAAAACGATCTCGGGCCAATGGCGTTGAACGACGTTCCGTCGCGCAGCGATCCCGAGGTAGCCGCACCGGCCGAACTTCTTTGTCATTTGAGCTTCGATCATGGCGGAGTTCTGTACGCTCAAGGACCTCACGCCGTTGGAGCTTGACATTCTTCGGCGGACAGCCGACCTGGGGATGATTTCCTACGACGCTACTCCGACGTGTGATGTATACGACAGCAGCGCATCGGAGTCGTGTTCGGGCTCTGAGGACGAGCAGGCCATGTCCGAGGACGAAGACGGCGCCTTTGACGAGACGGGGCGGATCGGCAACACCGACTGGTGGGTGATACGCTGTTTATTTTACCGCTGTATGCGTCATTTACGCTTGTTCTCTTCTTATCTTCTTTCTCAAAGGTGCCAGTGCGGATGTTGCGCGCAGATGCCGACAGCTGACGAGTGCGTCTGCTGCCGCGAGTACCCCGCCGCCGCGTCGAGGCAACCTGGCTGCCTAACAAGCAACCCGGATTTCGAGACGGTGTGCTTGAATCCGGGGGTGCTCGAGGTCGCCTACCTCATGATGCGCCACTACCGCCAGGACGGAATGGGCACAACAGCGCACGAGTGAGTTCAACGCCGTAATTTGCTGTTCGGCTAACTTGCAAACCGGCGCCAGCAGTAAAACGTTAGACAGCTACTTTACTATCTGTTTCAGTGAGCGTTACGCACGTTACTTTTCAAATGTGAAGTCACATTAGTGGTTGCATCGCATGTTTTACTGGCGTTTCGTGCCATGTTTCATTGTGAAGTTGTGGGTCATCAGAAAGTAAAATGTTCAAAACCTCGATTGCTGCATCAGTATCTCTTGCTTCAGAACAAGTTCGTGAGATCTGGTTAGCTCCAGTTTAGCTGATCACTAGTGATGGGACGGATCTTTGTTCGCATCTGAAGGTTCGGAAAGATTCGGAAAAGTAGCCGACTCCCAAGCGATTCGGAAAAGTCTGGAAACATTCGGAGCGTTGCCATGGTTGTCAAATCACGTTGATGAGTGTTTCAACTTTTCGTGATATTATACTCACTGAATTCTACAAAGTGCACTAAATATATTGTAATATAATATCACAGTAGTAAATAAAATGTTCCGCTTTGTTTAAATTATTTTGGATGTTTGTCGAGAACGGTAGCCAGACATCACGGGAAAATTGGTTTCAGTTCCAAATTACGACCCAATAGGCATGCTTGGTGCACACACATAGAAATGCAAGCGCATTTTTTCATCGCTGTTTAGCAGCATTTTACAACTTTAAAGAGCCTTTTTAACCGAAACTAGGGGTTATTCTTATACTTTGGTGCTTTTGAAGCGCCGTAGCAGTATTTTTTGTGTGTTTTAGTTCGTTTTTGTCGCTATCGGACTCGTTCACCGCGGCCGCGTTGCCCCCTCGGCTCCATGAAGCGCTCCGTGTCGCGCGCCGTGCCCACGGCGGTAGCTCTTGCAAGAACTGATTTTTCTACTTTGGTGATTTTGTAGCACGGTGTGATTACTCTGTTTTGTTTTGCTAGTTTCTTTATTGTTTTTCTCTAGCGGATTTGCTGCACTACGGCCGTGTAACCGCGTTGCTCCATCGCCTCTGTGTCGTACATACGTCCTGCCTTCGGTGTTCGTTCCTGTGCAAAGACATACCGTGCGGCTCACAGAGTGCGCAGCTTATGAAAGATGCGGCGCATTTTTCATTAGCCCTAGCGATTTAAAAACCGCATGTAAGCGATTTGGCGAGCGGCGAGACAAGCGACGGTGACCCGCTTCGCTGCCGCGAGGCAAACCGCATGAAAGCGACGGGAGCAAACGACCAAGGCGATGGGCACTAAGTTTTCTAAAAATCCCAAAACAGAGCTACGCGACGAGCGACAGTGAGGCGTGAACCGCATGTAAGCGATTTAGCGAGCGGCGACGAGTGACGGAGATTTCTCACGGTCGGTTGTCGCTCGGTTTTTAGATTTCTAGAAAACGTCGCTGATCGCCTTGGTCGCTTGCTCCCGTCGTTTTCACGCGGCTTGTCTCGTCGCGCAAGTGACCGAGCGACAGCGAAGCGGGTCGTCGTCGCTTCAGTCGTGGCTGTCGCTCGTCTCGTCTCATTGCTCGCTTACATGCGGTTCAGCCTTTACACACGCGGTACTCGGCGGCAACAAGAAAACTAAAACGGCCCGCCCCCGAGATAAACCTCTTTCTTTCTTGTTCAACGAAAGCTCCTTCAACGATATAAAATTGTACGACCGCGTAGCCAAGCCAGTCAAACCGCGACCTCGAAGATGGCGAATCGACGGTGGCGCTCCCTGGCAAAATTGAACCTGCAGGCTCAGTGAATACCGCCTATTGCTATCGAAACACGGGAAACAATGTGAAACTCCTGGTTAATGCTATCCGATTTAGTTAGTGTTTGGTTGCAAACAATGAAGTTGTGTTGGACACCCCTGTGTTGTGTTTTTTTTTCGTCAAGTAAAGTTCACGTATAAAAAAACTTGCTGACGAGAACGGAGAAACGACAGTGCAACGTTTTTCTTCGCCACCGGTGCCGGTACGCGGTCGAAGTTGTGACGAGCAACATTCATCTAGTTTTCGCGCCTTATAGGTGCAGACATACGCAGCTCTAGAGAAGGAGACAAATCATTTCCTTGCCTGAATATATATTTCTTGTACGTTGCGTCACATTATGTATAATACACCTCATTTTGCTACATTTTACCGATCACCGCGAAACCGCACAGGAAGCGAAACCGTGCATTGGTTAGGCCCACGTCAACCACACCGATCAGCTCAGCTGGACCTTGGCGCCTGCCAGGGTTTAGAACGACAGTTTAGTACATACCATATGTTGAAATAAGCAAGACGAAATCTGGTTATATGCAGTAACAGTACCTAAGAAAAGCACAACTGTCCACATTCGCGAAGTTTACGACTATTTTCACACTGCCGTCTGCAACCAGCGACGAATCTCATGAATCTGTCCGAATCCAAATCTCCGGGGATTCGTCCTATCACTAATATTACGTTCACATTATGGACCTAACGGGCGTAACTTTTGCAACAAACGTTGGCACAACATGCATAAACGCTACGTTCAGGGTACACTACTGAACGCAGCGTTCACACCCATTGGAGTAGTGCGCTCAAGTTTCGCCTCTGACTGCTGCGCCACTCGAGACCCCCGTGGGATGCCTTTGAAGTTTTGATATGGCCATTTTCTCCTCGGTAGCAGCGACGGGCTTGCAATTGTGTCGTTAAAAAAGCTGATCACGGCGGAAAGTGCCCCTTCATCATTGCCCCTTGATTCCACTCCGGCAGGTGCAGCTTCCAGACGAAATGGTGCGTCGAGACTTTGAACACTAGATAAAAAACAACAAAAAAGCTAATTTCCCTCAGCTTCATTGAAGTCACTCTCTGAATTATCCAAACGTTATTGATAGCGCGCAAGCAATTATGATAAAAGCAATGCCCCGTCTCTTTGGCGTGAACTACTGCATCTCTTTGCCACAAAGAGATGCAGTAGTTCGATCGAGTCAGCATGAACAGTGCTGCCGCATATTTTAGGGTTTGTGACATGCATATTGTTGTGCATGTTAGGCTTTGGTCATCTGGTCTGTTGGAATTGACTTTTTCTAACAGTTCTTTGTGATGATTTATGGCCCATTACTACACGATGCAGAACTAGAACGCAAAATGGTTGCACTTGTGCCCCATAACCGCTGCTACTTTCTTGTACATGGAGTATACACTACTGCGATTCAATTATCAACCTAATATAATGTTCACGCCTGTCAATTGAATTTGTGGGAAGAATAATGGACACAATCTAGAACTTGCTCTGCTCTTCGGGTTATTTTAGATCGGTTGCTGCCCAGGCATGAGGGCCCGTTGCAGCACTTTTTTTTTTGTTTCTGCTGGTAGAGCCCAGAATCTGCAATTTTAAAAGGTTGTGATATTGCGTCTTACAGAAAATTATTGTGGTTATTCTTTCAGGCGCAACCGCTACGCCGCCTACCGGCAGTGCGTCCTGTGGCTGTGGCGGCGCCTTGGCCAGCACAACAGGCGACCACTGCCATCCTGTGTGGTGAAGGCCATCAGGGGCCGGTTTCCCGACACTTCGTATTCTGGCTTTCGGCACAGTCACTGAAAGCCACTCTGGGGGCTCAAACATATGAGGGTAAGTCAAAACGTATCTGCAATGTGGCTATAACGTTTCGTACATTGTTTTTACTGACTTCTGTCTTCGTTTATTTTATTGTTATGCCGTTGTGGTTCTGCTATGAAAGTTTGGCCATAATTCATTTGTTTTCTCTTTGCTGCAAATAGATCATTGCCCCTCCCTTGGAAGTTTGCACCAAAGAGGAAAAGCGAGCAGGGGACCAGTGTCTCGCTCAACGGAGTGTCTATGAATTGAGCGTCCACACCTTCCGACCACATAAACCGGAACCCTGCTCGTTTTTCCTCTTTGGTGCAAACTTCCAAGGGAAGGGCTGTGATCTATTCGCAACAAAAGGAAAACCAAGGAAGAATTATTATCAAACTTTCATAGCAGGACCACAACAGCATAACAATAAAATAAACGAAGACAGAAGTCAGTAAAAACAATGTACGAAAAGTTATAGCCACATTGCAGATATTTTTTCACTTGCCTGCACCCCCCCCTCCCCTCCTCAAGCGGATTCCCACCTTACTGTGGTGGAGGGGTTTGTGTGCCCCAATGACCCTCTTGGGCTATGCCGGCCAGGGTCACCCATGCCGGACAGGCCAGAGGATAGGGGCCAGACAAAGAGGAATCCGTGGGTTAGTACCCACCCACCCATGCCTGCCTTTGTGTGGCGTTGCCAGTGTCTGGGAAAAGGGAGATTCTGATGGTTGAGGTGAGCCCTGGGTCATTACTGCACCCTTGGTTAGCTTTGCTGCAAATTACGAGTTTTCTTGTTGTGATTACTGTTGTAGCGTTAGCATTTTTACAGCTCTGCTTCATGGAATAGCACAGATTGTCGGCGATGTTAGAAATGTTGAAGTATTGATTCCTTCGTTGATTGACAAAGTGTCAATAGTGCCATGTGATCTTTGAAAGGCACTAATGGCTATCTCTAATCGGCCCCAATTCACAAGGCAGCCAACTGCGGCGCTCCACCGAGCATCAGCCACGCAGCGCCGTGTGCACCCCAACAGTGGACAACCGCGTACATCGAGACCTACTTGCTTATTTGCAGGGCACAATCATGAAGCAATTCTTTTAATATGATTTCACCATTCCTTTATTGGCAGAAAATGCCCTCTATCCATTTTTTATGCCCGATGCACCGGATCCTACAGGTAATTTTTAGGTTACATTCTATCTGCTTCCACCTTCTCTTGATGAGTCATGGGAAACAGAAAAGTTATTCCAAACATTTATTTATAACTATCTGGAGTGCAGTGCACCTCCCGGTCTACACAGGAGAGATATCACACAAAGGTGAAACAAGAGAATGATTCAGATGGGGGAAAACCGTGGTGTAGACTGGCAGTACTGCTTGGATATCATTAAAAATAACTCTGAGTGATCCGAGTTATGCACAACTTTACTCAGCATTGCCAGTCTACCTCCTGGCTGAAAACCCCATTTATTAAAAAAGTCGCAGGCGAGCAGTGCTGTAATCGTGGTAACTCCTCTTCAACCTGTCAGCTTGCCAGCACATGAAATGGAAAATGAACGCCAGGGTATTAGATGCTTCAATTATAAAAAAGAAACGTGCCATGAACACGTTCATTAGTATGCTTCAACTGAATAACCATTACACTTTCAGTAAACCTACTATTTTTCCTTTGACAATGTTGAAACTTCCTGGCATGCAATGACAGACCCTGTCCTTCTACTTGGTTGTCAATGTCACACTCCGGTCGAGGTCACGTTATGAACAGTGCGTGAGATGGTAGCCCACTGGTAAGTATAGGGTCCTGATTATCTTGACTTCCCTAATGTAGCTGCACCGAAGACAATATACTGACCAGACTTTCTCAAATAAATGTTACGCCTCACTCCTTGCTAACAAATATTGAAAAATGGAGGCCTCCTGATATATTTTTCTTTGCTTGCTGGTGTTCCTTGTCCTCTAACATCCACACTGGCAGGTGATATCAGTCGTCAAAGCTTGCATCTCTCGTGGTCCTGAAATCCAAACATAACTGTTGGAATAGGTCTCAATTCTACTTAAAAATGATTGCAAAGCAACACATATCCTTACTGCAGGTCTCTGGTTTCAGGATTGGCCATTCTTTCCTGGTAGTGCTCACCTGGTGCAAGTGTTGTAAAACAAACTTGCTTCTTTATAAGCTGGTTCAGCCTTTGCTGCAGCCAAACTTACTGCCCGGGGCATTTTTGTAGAGAAAAAGTGGCGTGGTTACAGGACTGCTAGCATCGTGCAGCGGCCACACTTACTGCTGGCTTTCATGACGAGACTGCGGGACGATTGAGTGGACTTTGTACTGCCTGGGGCATTTCTGTAGAGAAAAGGTTGCGTAGTTACAGAACTGCTAGCATCGTGCAGCGGCCACACTTACTGCTGGCTTTTATGACGAGACTGCGGGACGAATGAGTGGACTTTGTCCTGCCTGGGGCATTTCTGTAGAGAAAAGGTTGCGTACTTACAGAACTGGTAGCATCGTGCAGCGGCCACACTTACTGCTGGCTTTTATGAGGAGACTGCGGGACGAATGAGTGGACTTTGTCCTGCCTGGGGCATTTCTGTAGAGAAAAGGTTGCGTAGTTACAGAACTGCTAGCATCGTGCAGCGGCCACTCTTACTGCTGGCTTTTATGACGAGACTGCGGGACGAATGAGTGGACTTTGTACTGCCTGGGGCATTTCTGTAGAGAAAAGGTTGCGTAGTTACAGAACTGCTAGCATCGTGCAGCGGCCACACTTACTGCTGGCTTTTATGACGAGACTGCGGGACGATTGAGTGGACTTTGTACTGCCTGGGGCATTTCTGTAGAGAAAAGGTTGCGTAGTTACAGAACTGCTAGCATTGTGGCAGCGGCCACACTTACTGCTGGCTTTCATGACGAGACTGCGGGACGATTGAGTGGACTTTGTACTGCCTGGGGCATTTCTGTAGAGAAAAGGTTGCGTAGTTACAGAACTGCTAGCATCGTGCAGCGGCCACACTTACTGCTGGCTTTTATGACGAGACTGCGGGACGAATGAGTGGACTTTGTACTGCCTGGGGCATTTCTGTAGAGAAAAGGTTGCGTAGTTACAGAACTGCTAGCATCGTGCAGCGGCCACACTTACTGCTGGCTTTTATGACGAGACTGCGGGACGAATGAGTGGACTTTGTACTGCCTCGGGCATTTCTGTAGAGAAAAGGTTGCGTAGTTACAGAACTGTTAGCATCGTGCAGCGGCCACACTTACTGCTGGCTTTCATGACGAGACTGCGGGACGATTGAGTGGACTTTCTACTGCCTGGGGCATTTCTGTAGAGAAAAGGTTGCGTAGTTACAGAACTGCTAGCATCGTGCAGCGGCCACACTTACTGCTGGCTTTTATGACCAGACTGCGGGACGAATGAGAGGACTTTGTACTGCCTGGGGCATTTCTGTAGAGAAAAGGTTGCGTAGTTACAGAACTGCTAGCATCGTGCAGCGGCCACACTTACTGCTGGTTTTTATGACGAGACTGCGGGACGAATGAGTGGACTTTATACTGCCTGGGGCATTTCTGTAGAGAAGAGGTTGCGTAGTTACAGAACTGCTAGCATCGTGCAACGGCCACACTTACTGCTGGCTTTTATGACGAGACTGCGGGACGAATGAGTGGACTTTATACTGCCCGGGGCATTTCTGTAGAGAAAAAGTTGCGTAGTTACAGAACTGCTAGCATCGTGCAGCGGCCACACTTACTGCTGGCTTTTATGACGAGACTGCGGGACGAATGAGTGGACTTTGTACTGCCTGGGGCATTTCTGTAGAGAAAAGGTTGCATAGTTACAGAACTGTTAGCATCGTGCAGCGGCCACACTTACTGCTGGTTTTTATGACTAGACTGCGGGACGATTGAGTGAACTTTGTACTGCCTGGGGCATTTCTGTAGAGAAAAGGTTGCGTAGTTACAGAACTGCTAGCATCGTGCAGCGGCCACACTTACTGCTGGCTTTCATGACGAGACTGCGGGACGATTGAGTGGACTTTCTACTGCCTGGGGCATTTCTGTAGAGAAAAGGTTGCGTAGTTACAGAACTGCTAGCATTGTGGCAGCGGCCACACTTACTGCTGGCTTTTATGACGAGACTGCGGGACGAATGAGTGGACTTTGTACTGCCTGGGGCATTTCTGTAGAGAAAAGGTTGCGTAGTTACAGAACTGCTAGCATCGTGCAGCGGCCACACTTACTGCTGGCTTTTATGACGAGACTGCGGGACGAATGAGTGGACTTTGTACTGCCTGGGGCATTTCTGTAGAGAAAAGGTTGCGTAGTTACAGAACTGCTAGCATCGTGCAGCGGCCACACTTACTGCTGGCTTTTATGACGAGACTGCGGGACGATTGAGTGGACTTTGTACTGCCTGGGGCATTTCTGTAGAGAAAAGGTTGGGTAGTTACAGAACTGCTAGCATCGTGCAGCGGCCACACTTACTGCTGGCTTTTATGACGAGACTGCGGGACGAATGAGTGGACTTTGTACTGTCCGGGGCATTTCTGTAGAGAAAAGGTTGCGTATTTATAAACCGGTTATCGCTTCGTTGCAGCCACACTTACCACTGGCTTTGAGGATGAGATGGCAGGCTGCATGGAGGGCATGGCGATGTTCAGGGAGTCCTGTGGAAGTAGAGTTATTGATGTAATAGGACGCTCATTTTAACTGGCAGGTATACTTCGTTCAGGCTGCGGAAATGAAACATGAGTTTAGAGAGTGCCCTTACTGCAGAGTACGGCCGAAGCGGGACCTCCGTGCTTCCACTAACTCCTCCATTGAAGGCCTGGCAAAGGCCGCAGTCATGGGCGCCGGAAAGATGTTTGTGCTGGCCTTCGCCGCAGTAGCAAGACACCGCCATCGACTATTGATTGCGATCACCTCCTCTACGAGCTTGTGAACGTAGCCTGGAATTGAAGGTTCTTTTTTTTCACTTGATCAAATGACCGAGCAAGTCAACGACCATAAAATGAATGCCACACTTACTGTAGCTGGGTGCTGTCTTGACAGGACAAGCTGTGTGGTGGCCCTTGCGTGCTTTGGATGTTTTCACCGCTCAGCGTGGCTTGCCCTCTTGCGTCTCAG